CATTCAGCGAACCAGGACGCTTCGCGGTGCGAGGGAACCCCTCGGTGGGGAAACAGCAGAGAAACGGAATCCCCCGTGGCAACTCCACCAAGGATCTGTTTATCTAATCGCGGTGAAAGTCGTTGACTCATATTTTGCAACAACCCAAAGCCGCTCTTTCTAAAAAGCCCATTCCCACCACATTTTCCCTTCGCTGCACCCTCATCATACTCTTAACCAACCGTTCCTAATCCAATAACAAAATTATTGAAATTTAAACCACAATTATTTCGTATAATAAAGCTGGTCCGAAGGGATAGAGGACCGATGCGTCTCCTTTCTCCTTTCCCAAGGGAGTGCGCTCTTGAGCTCCTCTCGCTCTCTCCCGGTCTAACGCTTCGCTTAGGGAGGAGATGGGCGGACCGCTGGGAGCGATCATAGGGCGGTGCCCGGTGGCGGCCGCTTCGGGCGGCAATGAGGACGGGCGGATCGGTGGTGACGGTGGCATCATAAGGCACAACAGGAAGTGCAGGGATTTGGTGTTCCTCATCATCTTCATCGCCTTCTGGGTGGCCATGATCGTTAATTCCAGCTTTGGGTTCAACCAAGGAAACCCACTTCGGTAATTCTTCTCTCTTTCACCACTAAATCCCGCATCTGACTCTTTCTCTCGTTGAAGGAAAAAGATGATCTTTTTCTTGGGTCAAAAGTTTCTTTGTCTCTCCCTTTTCCCCATCTCACCCAAAATGTTATGCTTTGTGGTGAAATCGTTTCTTTCTTTACGAGTTTGTTGCGATTTCTTAGCTGCATTGCCTCAGATCATCGGGTTTGTTTGTGAAGCTGATGTGAAGAAGGTTGAAGAAACATGTCGAGAAGAAGGTTTTGATGTCTGGCTCGAGCAGCTTGTTACGGACGATAGAATCACCAAATAGCGAGATATCCTGCTTCATTCTTGTTGGGTGTTTGGATTCTTGTACTTCATTCGGGTGTCTTCTTCTTGAAGCATATATTAAGATGCTGAAAAACTTTTACTGCATTCGTCTCTTCTGGAAGTGGAATTTTGGGCTTATATTCGCATATTTTCCATCTTTACGAAGTCATACATCTATTTTGATGGTAATTATTCTTCAAGTTTGCTTTTTCTGGTAATCCCTTGATCGACCGAAGAAAACTATCTGATGCAGGCTTATGTACGGGCTGGACTACAAAGGAAACATCTGCGGGAACAGGCATGCAGACCCTGACTTGCGTGAACTGGAGGTCAGATATTGGCTAAATCCTAACCAGGTCTACCAGAGTGGTCTTAAGAATAGCCAGTTCGATCTAGCTGATGCAAAGAGCATATGCTTGATGGAATGTCCTATTCCTTCGGAAGATGGTATCAACTGGGTCTGTGATTACCCAGAGGGAGACATCCGCCTCTCCGTGGATGATTGGATTGACAGGGACTATGACTACTATGAGTACCTAACAACAGAGACGAGGAATAGTTCTCTGCAGCTCCAAGGCCCATGCTACCCTGTCATATTTCCAAGTGTGAATGGTAAGTATTATAAATCTTTCTATAAGTGATTTTGCACTTGCTCCATGAAAGAACATCGATTTGCTATCATTACGAGGAACCAAAAAATTCTGTTACTTGCTCCTTGTTTTTGGCTTTTGTTCCTTGAGCTTTGTACAATACATGCTTCTCAACGAATGGTTGTCTGCATGGTACCGATGTCTATGCAATGGCATATGTCAGGACCAACAACAGCATGGATGATCCATATAGATGTGGTATTTTATAGGATGCCTTTCAGAGTATTTAAATGGTTTTTCTAGTTCTTGTCATTCGGTGATTTGGATTCTTAGTTTCGTGATAAACACATTATGGCAAGGGCCATCTTTTCGTGCTTAAGTTGCATGCTTCGGATGGCGTTGCATGTATCATCATTGTCAAGTGTTCATTTTCAAAATCTCATCATACTATTATCTTTATTAAAAGAACAGTTAACCAAGTTACGTTCTTTTGTGACTTTAGTTTACTGGAGCTGTCAGTTTATTGCGCGTGCATCAAATGTTTCTTTGAAGCAGTGGCAGCAGATGGGCGGTGTTGACATTGACGAAAACATCATGATAGATAAAACTATTCATAGAGCCATCAACTCTCCATCAGCTGTATTAAAGGTTGGTGATTTTGTCAGAGACTAGTAGTTTCTGCCTTGAACATATACCCTTCAAGTTTTAGTTCTGTGGTTCTGCTCTGAGCTTTCTTGCTAAAAGTGACAATTTAGATTAGAATGACCTTTTCATCTAAATGCTGATCTAGATCACCCTATTCTTTTCACATGTTCAGGAAACTCCACTTTTACCAGTTGGGATAAAATCCTGGAATGCAGCCAGCATTGGGGGATGAGTTTGATTTCTATTTGGTGTTAAAAAAAGAAGCTTAGAGTTTTTCGAAATAAACCCTTATTATATTTTTTTTTTGAAGTGGATATGGATTATCTCATACTTCATTATATTCATGTTGAACGTGGACCCAAAATGACACTTATCATATAAGCACAACCTTACTTGTCATATATGCATTATCATTCTCTTTCCCCAAGAGTACCTCATCATCTGATTGAAACCATTGCTCATGAAATTTTCTGCTATGCAGAGATACATGGCAGATATTTGGAAAGCTGGGCCTGTCTTAGTTGTCTGCGGAGGAATTCTACCCCTCTTTTTGTCCATTATCTGGCTATTGATGATACGCCATTTTGTTGCTGGAATGACTTGGATAACAGTGATTCTCTTCAATGCCCTTGTAATATCTGTGGCAATGCTTTATTACAGAAAAGGTCAGATGTACATTTCCCACAAATGCTCTTTTGTAGTTGAGCAGTTATTATGCTGCATGTCCTGTTGACCAAATGTTTCTAGTACAAAATTGTTTGATGTCAACAATGAAAAATGGCCAATTTATTCATTTTCCAAATGTAAATACATCTCATGATCGAGGCTATGATTATACATTTTCATCTTATTTTCTAATGAAAACTTTCTTCTTAACTATAAGCATTGAACAGAAGTGTTATTTGATGTTTTTCAGCTGGGTGGATTGGTAGTGATGCCTTATCAGTTGTTATTGGTGAAAGCGACCCCTACGTTCACATAAGTGGCCGGGTTTGTCCCTATCATAAGACAAGCATTTGGTAATTGTCTCTTTGTTTTGGCTTACTTCAAGCGTCAATGCAGGAAATAAATCACCTTCATGTTGTAGCTGTTCTTATGACAATAGTCATGATTATTTCCTTCCTTTCTTCAATAGCGATTGTCCGCCGACTACTTATAGCAACATCTGTTTTAAAGGTAATTATGATTTTGAAAGCAGCTGAATCTGCAACTACAATTTCTTACATGAGCTGGCAAAATCCAGTTTGCTTTGTTGAGCATCTTCAAACTCACGTAGTATTTCAGAAACATCATGATCAGGATTTTGCAATTGGTATCTTCTTTATGCATTTTAAGAATAGTATGCTTCATCATGTAAAAGTAAAAGCTAACTTCTCTGTGCTTATTCAGGTTGCAGCTAAAGTCATAGGTGAAGTTCAGGCTCTTATAATTTTCCCAATACTGCCATATGTTATCCTTGCAATATTCTATGTTTTCTGGTTTTCTGCTGCCCTTCATCTTTTCAGCTCTGGCCAGATCCTCAAAAATGATTGCAATGTTAATTGCTGTTCATTTGACCTGAAGTCTAACAAGGTCAATTGTGATAATTGTTGTGGCTATAGTATCCATTACACTCCTCATATTGGAATATCTATCCTTTTTCACGTATTTGGATGTTACTGGGCAACGCAGTTTATCATTGCATGCTCATCAACTGTAATTGCTGGATCGGTTGCCTCTTACTACTGGGCTCGTGGTGAGATTTCGGTAAGTAAAGCTGCAATTTTAGCTGTTTGAGACTCAGGATCTGTTTATATCTATGCAGGCACAATTCTGCATGCACTTAAGCTCACAGAGTTCGGAAATTTGAAATCTGGAAGTGTAGCTAAATCTTTAGTAACTTCAGAAATTATATTAGTGCAAAAGTGGTCTGGTCATAACTTGATAGAAATCCTTGAAGTTCTCTTGCATCTTAAATTATTGTTATCTGGCTCTTGGGGTTCTTAGTAAATCCTTTTTTGTTGGGTGGATACCAGTCCAGAAATTAAAATCCTTGAGTGTAACAATATATTTCTATTTCAAGAAACACAGATGTCTTACATGTTTTTGCTTTTTATGTGTGTTGGCCCAGACTGGTACGAGTCCAGGACCCAAATTAAATATCCTTCAGCATAACAATAATTTAAAGAAGCCACAAATATCTTGCTATATTTTTTGTTTTTATGGTGTTCAGAATTCAGATGATGCAATGTCTTTATCTACCTTATTTAAAGAACATCATACTGTGCAACATGGAAAAGTTCAAATATTTATTGAGCTCAGCATGAACCTTATGATATTGATTATCCATTTTCTCTTGTTATTCCATTTTTGGTAGATGACTCTCTTAATTTGAATGCAGCAGGAGATTCCATTTCTTCCTGTATTTTCTTCAATGAAACGGCTCTTGCGATACAATCTAGGATCTGTGGCACTTGGTTCCCTTATTGTATCAATTGTTGAATGGGTGCGATTCATACTTGAGGCTTTACGCCGCAGGATAAGACATGGGGATCCTGCTCCAGTAACCTGCATTGAAAAGTTGATGTCCACTTCTTCTCAGTGCTGCTTAGGATGCATTGATTGGACCATCAAGTCTGTGAATCGTAATGCATATATTATGGTAAGATTTTGGATAGAAGCTTGTACTTCACGTCCATGCAGGACATGCAACATTTAATATTTCTGCCTCTAAAGAGCAGATAAAGCTTGCTCTCTTGTTCCTTAATTAAGTTGATTTTCAATTTGCGAAGTACTTCATAAAACTGATATGTCAATCAATTTTCTTATGTTCAAATTTCTTGTGTCCTTGGTGTTGCAAAGAATCTCAGAACTTTGATGAAGGCTTGAAAGAGCCTTACTTTCGACTTTGGCAACATTTTAAATGTCATTTGCAATCCCCTCCATAACTGAATTTTCATATTTTCTATACCAAAAAGGACAGATGAGGGAGATTTCTTTATTTCATTATTACATGTTCATTTGAGTGTATATAGGAGTTAAAGCAACTAACATCAACCACACATTTATGATCATCACTAACTAGAATTAGTGCGACATTGTTCATTTGCAAGTCCTAGCGTGTTCTATATTTAAAATCTTTTGTTTTATGGCAAACTTATATTGGTCATTTTTATCACACAGATTGCTATCACAGGAAAAGGATTTAACAGAGCATCTGCTATTGCTACTGGGTTGATTGTGAACAATATATTGCGCATAGGAAAGGTCAATGTCATTGGAGATGTGATTCTTTACCTTGGAAAATTATGTGTCAGCCTCTTTTGTGCATTATTTGCATTCCTCATGCTGGACACCCACAAATACAAGTCTGCCCATAACAAGATTTCATCCCCTTTGTTCCCTGTTCTGGTAAGTTTTCTTTTAAAATGTTACTTCCAATTTCTTTCGATTGCCTGGTTCCTGTGAGTTATTTTGTTGAGAGTTGCATATCATTGCACAAGCCATACTCGATTGAATTTGAATTTCCGTAGAGACAAACTTGACCAATGCGCAATAGAAAATCAGCAAGACATCAGGTCTAGGATAGTCTTGGAGTATTTTATTTGGTGTATGGCATCAGAGGATTGCTTCATGATTCCTCAAGTTTGTCTCGGAAATAGTTCATGATTTCTCAAGTTTGTCTAGGAAATAGACTTATCTGAATTTTAATGAACAGCTCCCTGTGAAACTTGTTGCGATCATGCAGTGGTAGCGGCATAATATGTGTGTCAAACTGTCTTAAATCACTCTAATTCATTTGATGAGATTTCCGAAAGTCTTTCTCATTCCTTAATTACTGACAAAGGATGCAAAGCCAGCTATTGGATTTACGAAGCATTTTGCTTCATGCATTTTGTGCAATATGTCGATCGTCCAATATTCCTAATACATAAGAATTATAGTGACAAAAAAAGTTTCTTGATCCCTTTACAAGATTAGTTAACATTTATGCAACAAAGATGTACTTGGGATAGGAGCGAATAATGAAAATAAACTTAAATGTCTTAGTTTAGGAAATTAAATTCACTTCTAATTTAACTATCAGTTTAGTCAAAGTGAAGTGTCTGCATAGTGGCATGAGTACAATTAGAGTAAACAACTTGTTGGTCAAATGTTCTTGGCATGGTCATGGGGTCTGTTTCTTGAAATCTCGAGTTCTTCATTCTTGTAAGGCTTGTCTCCAGACAGAAGCATTTCCTGCTGGATTATAATTATCCTTTGTTCTTGGAGATGTAACTTGAAGCCCAGAGTAACATGCTTGCATCTTCATGTAGGTAAGTTGGGGGCTTGGCTACGTAGTTGCGACCCTCTTCTTTGCAGTGGTTGAGATGTCAATTGATACAATCATACTCTCCTTCTGCCAAGATGCTGAAGAGCATCAAGGAACTGCACAATATGCACCTCCGCTGCTCATGGCAACACTAGATGGGCAAGGAGAGATGCAGAGACTGACACAAGGCTCTTAGGCTTGAGTATCATCGCCGAGTTTACCTGCCCTTTTCCGATTCTTCTAATCTGTTTTATTAATTATTGTGGCATTTCATTTGTATTATTCCAGTGTGATTTGCCATTTCCTGTTTAAGCCAACTATCCAACAGATATGGTTTCGAAGCCCTTTTTGTACCACGGGCACGAGAACCTCTTGGGACCAGTCATGATGGCTATAAAGGACTGTAAGCACCCTCTTGAGCGACCATATAATATTCTGTTATTAACTCTATAATATATATATATATATATATATGGTAGAATCCAAATGTGTTTTTATTTTTGATAAAGTGATGAAGCTTGGGTGGTGGTTACTTCTACTGTATAATGACCATTCTATCAGATGCTGTCAACTTACTACACATTATTATGCTGCCTGTTGTTCATGCACATACACAACAGTCCCCGAAAATTTTTTGTGACACTTTGTACAGCCAATATCAGATACTATTATTTTTTATATTTCAAATAAACTTAATCCTCCAGGACATCCATGTGGATTAATGCTTAACCTGATGCCATTTGAATCAACAGAATGTTTTTCAATGTAGAACTGATTGTGGAGATCTTATTTTGATTAAAAAAAGTGAATCGATATCAAAATAGTACTTGAATAAAAAAAAATATATACAAATGATTAAACACATGATCATTTTTCAATGGTATCGTTCGGTATGGGCGGTACGTATCGGTCCGATGGCATATTAATACGCGGACCGTTCGGTATCGTTTGGCATATTGGTACCGTACCGTACCGTATCGAGTCCGGATCGAAACGTCGGTACGATATAATGAACCTTGATAATTAGTATTATTGGAATGAGAAAAAAATAAAGATTTAATATGTATTATAATATTAATAAAGACTTAAATATTATCAATAAAATATATTATATATTATTTAATTTTTTAGCATTTGATACTACATAGGACATTGGATAGGAGCTTATTGCAGGTCCGATGCTATGAATGAGGTTAAAGGTTCATTTTAGCCTTAGCCTATGTGGTTTTTGTTATAGATCACTTAAGTTTCTATGATTTACTTATGTCTAAAATAATCCTTAGATTTTTAAAGATATAGTATATAAGTCTCACTCGTTAAATCTGAATTAATAGATATAATGATACATGTAATTTAAGTTAAAAAAAAATTATTTTAGCTTTGTGGTTTTGGTTATGGATCACTTAGACCCTTATTATTTTGTTTGTCTAAAATAATCTTTACATTTTAAAAAATGTAGCATATAAGCTCTTTCTGTCAAGTATGAGTTGACAACATTAGAATCGACTTACATGATATGCTGACTTATAATAAATCATTAATATAATTATATGTATAATTTAATTTTTTTTTAAAAAAATCTATTTTATCGAGGAAGAGGAAACGATGAAGGCCGTAGCGATAGACGAAAGCAGAGAGGTAGAAATAGGAGAGGTCAGAGGCAGAGGTGAGTGAAAGCTGGACTACAATGTCGTATGCATAATGAGTGGGGGTGCAGGAGAGGACGAAGTGGGAGGCGGTAAGGAGAAAGAGGGACTATGAAACTATTGCATGCTTAGCGTTGGATTTGTTGATACACATCCATCCGAGGTAAGATCAGAAGCTCTTGAGTGTGTCGTTAGTGGAGGAGAGGCTACGTGTGTATGATGCCTTGCTAAGCAATAACAACTTGGTACTGTTGTTGGTGGTCGCTTCCACGATGATGTTTTCTCTCGCCATTGATAGTGATCTCAAATTTTTAAATTTAAATTACATGTGTTATTAGATTAATAATTTATTATGAGTCAACATGTCACGTAACCATACTTTAATGTCTGTTCACTCAGGTTTGACGGGAGGGGCTCATATGATATGTTTTTTCAAATATAGGAGTTATTTTAGATAAAAGTAAGATCATATGGGCTAAAATAGATTTTTTTTAAAATATAAATTATATTTATCATTATATTAATAATTTATTATGAAGTTAACATGTTACGCAAGTAGATTCTAATATTTGTTAACATATGTTATATTTTTTGAAATAAAAAGATTATTTTAAACATCGGTAAATCATTATGATTTAAATGATGTAGGATCAAAATGATCTTGATCTTATATTTTACTAATTCATATATAGTTTTACTATTATTCTTTTATATATATTTTACTAATTAAAAGCGGAGGCAGCAATACAATAGGGTTTGGGAGCAGCCCGAAAACGGGCCAAACCGCGAGAAAAATAGAGGCGAGTTCGTCTGTAGTAACAGTGACGAGCATCCCGCAACTCGAGAGATCTTCGATTTGCTGGCCGCCATGGTGAAAACCGTAATCGCCGACGACAACCAGTCGAAGTCGGCGGAGGATCGCCTCTTCCAACACGGCATCCCCGCCCAAGTATCACTCTTTCTCTCAATCTCTGCAGCTTTTCTTCTCTTATCCCGATCTTACGGGTTCCGGTCGGTTTTCTGCAGGTTGGGCTTGTCATCGGACAGCTGAACCGCAGTTCCGATCGAGGGTTCGTGTACGATTTGATCCCCACGCCACCGACCGACGGGGGAGGCCCCGCCTGCTCCCTTAAATCTGAGGCTGCCGGCAAGGATGATAAGAAGAAGGGATCGAAGAGCGGCAAGCCCTCGGCGGAGTTGCCCGCGTCTCTTGTTGTTGATAACGATTGGGTTGCCGAGCACGCTCGGCAGGTAAAGATGGAATCTTTTTCGATGTATGCGAAGAAAGAGATCGGATCATGTTTTGTTACTTCAGTGGCTTTCTTTATCTCTGCTTTTAGGTGTCAAGAATGCTGCTGGGTGGTATGAATGTTGTTGGGATATATTTGTGGGCTTCTGAGGCCACGTTTAAGGCCACTTCACCTGCTGTGCTCTCTCAGGTGTATTTTTTTTCCCCAATTTCTGCTTTATATATAGCAAACTACCACTGGAACGAAGAAATTTTGCCTTTTCCGCCTTTCATCTTTTGATTTAATTAGAGAAATTGGAGAATGATACTAGTTTTGTTTTATTGCTGCGCGGAAGCTTTTAGTATTTAGCTATACTTCTTGTACACTTAACAACCAACATTTGTTTCGTAGCAGTAGCGACCATTAATCTCAAGTTGTAGTACGCTCTCTTACATGTATATCGGCTACCTAGTTTTCTTTTCTAAATTTCTGGGATGTGTCAAACTTGTTTCTGCATTTCTTGTTAATCTTGTAATTCATCATGATTTTTCTGCAGGCCATTAAGGGGGTTGCACAAGCGGCTCCTTTTGCTGATAATGAGTTTGAGGAGAGATTGCTTATTCATGTATCCTGCAGCCCAAGAAGGTGTTTCACATAGTTTCTCTTTTTTCTGTTGAATATACTGTGAAGCGTTTGAATCTCGGTATTGAACTAATTGTGGTAATTTGTCCTTTTGTCATGTTTATGTATTGTTTTTCTGCATTGTTAAACCTGTCAATGGTTTTTCTTCTTTTTTCACCGCTGTTATTGTTTGATGCATTTAACCTTAAGTTGTCTCATCTTGAAGTGTTTATTCTTACACTTGTTCACTGATAAAACCACAGCAATAAGCATGTCTCAGAGGATGAGGTTTATGACATGCCTATAGAAGAATAAACACAGGAATGGCTACCATTCTATCAGATATTAAAATAGCCTTTATGATAGTTAAAAGAAGGGAGAGAAAAGCATAAGAATACATCTAAATCTATTCCTGAGAAAGACAAAAGAGGCATAGATGACGGATTAATATGTAATGGTTGTATGGTGAATTATAAATAATAAGATGTCATAACTCTTGTGACTAATCTGAGGATTGTTGCGTGTTCCAAGTCAAATACCACAGGTATGCCTTCTACTAAGCATTGCCATATAATGCATCCTTTTGGCATTTTAAGTGTATAAAGCATTAATTTTATATCTCGATTTGTTTCATCAATAATTTCTTTTTTCAATGTCTACATTCGAGTAGGTGGTCTTGTCGAGTCTGCACTCTAGCATCAGGTGGTTTGCAGCCATGTGACTTCAAGATGGGAAAACTGCTAGCTTCTCTTCAAGCTTTTAGATGCACATATAATTTTGAGATAAGGTACTGCTTGATTGCAATAAAACTATGAAATGCCTTCTTACCTTTTACAGAAAGCTTGTGCTTATTGTGCTAATTCAGAGTTTTTCTTATTGGTTGAAGCATTCTCATAAAAAAATTGCTGATGCATTATATTAAGAGAAGCAATTTGTTTGCCATAGTTGCAGATTAACTGAGTTTATATCATATTTTTTAACAAAACCTCAGATGCTTCTTAAGCCTAGATGCAGGTATAGCCATCAAAAGATGATGCCCCCTTGTAGGATTGGTGTTACATTCTTAATTCGAGTCACTAAAGAAACAATAGCAAACCAATTTTTTTTCTTGCCTCCACCTTGGCTTTTCTATCATTCCATTTGTTGTTGTTTGAAATTGCTCTATCTAGGAAACATTTAGAAGGAACTTGGTACTCAAATCCTCCATGTATTGATTCTATTGGCTGTTCTTAGTCGCTAAGTGGTGGAAAGAGGGAGGTTTCTGCCGTTCCTTACCAAGATAGTGTCAGTACCGAGGATTACAATACTGAATGATATCGCTCGTACCGGGCGGTACCGTTGATCTAGCCCCGTATTGGACGATACGAGACTGTATCGGGTGAAATTGACCGTTACTACTCAAAACAGGTCGGTAACGATCGATTTCGACCGTCGTCGCCTGCTATCAGGCGGTATCAACTTGGCTGCGACGAGGGAAGAAGAAGCGTCGAGGGAGAAGAGGGAGAAGGCGCTCGAAGAAGAGGGAGAATCAGGAGAACCTCAACGCTTTTCGATTCAGCGCCGCCCTCCCTCGACGATCTCGATCCAGGAGGTAACGGAGAGGTGGCGGCTTGATTTCTTCGCTGAAGGCCGAAGATGCCTACGACCTTTACCGCATTCTTTGTCAAAGGCTGGAGACGTCTGCGACTTTCGACGTCTTCTTTGAACACCGCAGATAAGGAGAAGACCGCGGTCTTCTCGTCTAAATACGACGAGGAGAAGAAAGGGAGGTGACGTCGCCGAGGCAGCATATGGCTCCTTTATATATATATATATATATATATATATATATATATATATATATATATATATATATATATATATATATATATATAC